TGTCCAGCCACGCCCGGTGAGTGATGCACTCCCGGGTCTGGGTGTAGCTGGTGATTTTCAGGTCACAGGGTTCTACCTGGACTGGTTTCCCGAGCGACCGCATGGTGTCAGACACGCGACGGAACAGTGTGAAGCACATCAGGGTGATTTCTGAGCCGGTATCCAGCAGAGCATCAACCTGTATGCATCCACCTACGTTGGTGCTACAGTACAAACGGCGAGCATGATCATGGTTTGTTAAGTCACCAAGGAACTTCAGAAATTTAGTATCAGGTTTCTCTGGGGGGTAGATTTCAGGAGATTCCTGTGATCTACCAGTACTGTTCCCCCAGCTGATTAGGTAGGTCCTGGCCACGCTGGGGGGTTGAGCCACGCCTAGTCATGCGGACATTGGCTCTGGGTCTGGCTTCTTAGAAGAAGACTTTGGTGCAGGGGTTTCTTCTGCAGATCTCAGCTGTTCCTTCTGTTTAGCTAGGAACTGCTGAAACATCTCCTGGAGGTCGGCTTTGGTCAAGTACTCACCTGCGGACTTGCGTTCGGGACTTACCTGTTGGCGGCGCTCCTTAAACCTTCCACTGTTCCAACCTACCTGCCGTTGGTTTTGGTTGGGCCACTTCCTGTCTGATTGTCCAGACCTAGGCGGCCAATCAGCACCCCCCTTCCCCTGTTGAGGAGATTGGGGCTGCTCTCGCGGTTTAGCAGGTCTAGGTTTAGCAGATTTTGGCTTAGTGGGTGGAGCTTCTGTGCCTTCAAACTCCAAACGCGGCTCGGTGTCGGGAGCTAGGTGCATGACGCGGTGATGTGCGTCAGGCTTTTGGGGCTTTCCGCCGGCTTCCCAAGCCTGTTGAGCGTATCTCCTAATCTCCTGGGTTGTCAGTTTCTTCATCCGACAATACATTGAGACTTCGGAGCGAACACACTCGTGCAGGTTGTGAATGAACAGGGATCTGAAGGCAGGGTCTTCCTCGAGCCCAGGGCCGTTTCGACCTTGGAAATAAGCACTTTTGAGTCGGCGATAATACTCTCTGGGGGGTTCGTTCCTCCCGTGTTTGATGGAGAAGGCCCCCATTGTAGCTGACGCAGAGTCTGCATACGTGGCGTATTCATCCCTCAACGCTCGGCAGAGCGAGGAGTACCGATCTCGAATGTCAGGTGGTAGAGTTTCCATGAAACCGTGCACCGTTCTAGATGTGGTTTTCCAAATTAGCTTGAGCTTTTCCCTTGAAGAGGGTGCTGGAAGATCAAGCAGACAACGTTCTATCTCCCTGAGATAATCGTCGACGTTGAATTCATTGGTGTTAGGATCAAAGCATTCTATGTCTTTAGCTAGCGATTCAATTTGACGTACACGGAGCCCTGACTCACGGTACGGCGCGTCATCCTCTGACTCTGACCCACGGTCTGTCTCAGAGGGTGCTGGATATCGCTGGTGTGCTCTGGGCTCCCAATGTTGACTCCTGGGGCCCAAATCGGGGTTCGGCATGCTGTGGCGGGCTGCTGGCACGTCACGTGGGTGTCCTGGGAGGTCCTCCTCCCGGGGCACGTCTGCGTAGTGCAGCCTGCGTCTTTCAACTGGGGCTTCTGCGTAATACGCTCTGTCCGGGTACGGACTGGCGTATGATGCTTTGTCCTGCAGCTGGTTGCTGGCATGCCAAATACCCTCGGCCCCTAGGTGGTCCTGAATGCCCTAGAGTGTGTGTAGGGAACGGGGCCGAAGGTTGGGACAGATAAGCTTCATCTCTCCCCTGCGGCGTGCGTCCGTCCAGAGAGTCACGGTGTTTCCCCCCTTCCCACTGTCTGTTGTCATCAGCAGAGGGGGGCGGGGTCTTCTCCCCATCTTCCCCAGAATCGGTGTTGTCTTCCTCGATCAGCCTTTCATTTCGCTATTTTTCAGCTAGCATACTCTGGAGGTTCATGATCTTCTGACCACGTTGGAGTCCTCTCTGATAGAGGATCAGGGCTAACTTAGCTAAGTGAACCTGGATTGGTTTTGTACCATCCGGGTTTTCTATTTGATCAATTACAGCTTCTAGCTCGACGCTACGCTGTTCTTCAGTGAAATCCCTAGAAGGGTAGTCGGGTTCTCGAGCAACCGCGACCAGTTTGGACAATATTTGTCCAGAAAGTAGGCCAGGTTCATAGTCGTGGGCCGCAGCGCCACCTGGTTGCTGGGAGTTGGTCAGTTCACTACTCTGTCCCTCCATTTAACAACCGAACCAAAAATAGCCTAGTAGAGCTTCTGCAGATAGCTCAAGCTGCACCTTTTGGGCAGCAACTGCTAGCTTTGTAGCAGAAAAACACTAAATTAACCTTTGTGCGCACAGGTTTTAGCGTTTTAAGATTGCACGGAATGCCGTGACTGACGCTTAAAATACTATTCCTTTCAGTATTTTAGCAAAAGCTGGTGCGTTGCCGTAGTAACGTCTTACAACACTTGCAGTGTTAAATATGCTAGTTATTCCTTCAGAATATTAGCAAACAGGGTGTTATCAGTCTTTGAGTGAAGGTTTCAGTTAGTTACAATAGCTACTGTGAGTTAAAGTCGCTAAATTAGCAGTTAATTTTAGCCTAAAAGGGTTAGTCAGAATTACTTACACACTGCACCTTTAATGAAGAACTGAATTTTAACCTAAAAGGTTAACCAGAATTAATTACACGTTGCACCTTTAAGGAAAAACTGAATTTTAACCTAAAAGTCAACCAGAATTAATTTACACGTTGCACCTTTAAAGAAGCACTGAGTTACTGGTGAGAGTTCGATGCAGCTTCCTGCTCAGCGAAATCAGCACCACTCTGTTGCTGGTTCAAGGCTGAACAACTGATTATTTTTAATTCAGGCTCTTTGGATTTATTTGTTTGTTTGTGCCGGATAGAAATCTCTGTATATCCAAGCCTCACACGGGCTGCACCAATTAATGTTGGGGTTATTAGGAGCGAAAAATTCGTAAGCTTTAACTTACTTTTGGATTCTTCAATAAATTCTGTAAATATGGGAATATTTACTGATTTATTAATTAATTAAGATATTCTTAGATATACGGGGCACCATTCCCCTTTAACCGGGGAAAAATTGAATCCAAAACTCTTATCAGTCTTTCTTGAAGTTCGTAGAATCCTTGGAGCAGAGACTTCTCTTCGACACAACAAAGCTACTGGAGACGAAAATCTGAATTTTATAACGTTTAATTAACAATTTGTCAAATGAATAAACAGTGGCATAAATGAATAATAACCATGTGATATAATAAAAGGATGTATATTCAAAATAAAGTTCAAGGTGTTTGTGTGGTGTGTGTGTGTGAGTGTGTGTGTGTGTGTGTGTGAGATGAATGGGTCTTTGTTTCCCCAGAGTAGGTGGGGGGAGTGAGCTGTGAGTGTGTGTGGGGCTCTTCCCCTCCCCTCGCATTCAACAGGAGACCTGGATGTGTAAAGTTTTCTACTTTCCCGAACACTTAGTGGCTTAGAATCACAGTAAAACTTAACTCAAACACTTCAAAAGTTAACAAACAACAAAAGGGCACTTGTAAATTATTTAATCTAAAAGGAGTCGGCAGCCTGGCCAGAGCTGACGACTAAAGATATTAGCGATGATCAATAAGCAGTTTATTCTTTCAAAATGACCCGGCGGACGTGTTTTAGGAACGAAAGAGGAAAACACGAAGCTACTTTTTAAGCAATAGCGCGGTTTTATTGCTTATTCTGGACTATAGAGGAAACGGGAGAAGAAAAGGAGAGAGAGAAATGAGTTTTCTGATCACCAGAACAGTGAAGCGTCCCTCACTGTTTTGATTTGACGGTTCTCCGTATTTCTCCGCAGTTTGGCGTCGTCCGTCGGTTTGATGGGTTTCTCCGTTGTTTCTCCCCACGAGTGTTTCTCCACGGGCTGGACACAAAGAGAACGAAGTTTCTTTTGGGCTGAGTTTGACAACTTACAGCATCTCTGAGAGCTGGATGGAGCTCCGCTCGTTCCCAGTCAGGTCCTGATGGAGTTCGAGTGGCTTTGTAGCGGTTTCGTGGCTCAACTTGGGCACTTAGAGCTTCCGCGTGCTCAAGTTGTTGGAGCATTTGACAAGCGTGTCCTTACCGCCAGGTATCCTGGGCAAAAGAACGAGGTTTCTTTGTCTCTGCTGAAGATTTATGGTCTTAGTTCGCGGGAAAAGCTCCACGGCCTCCCGCACATGCGCAGAACGTGTTTCTGGTATTAGGCGGTGACATCATCCCAATGCTTCCGTGTGCAAAGCATCATGGGAAATGAAGTTTCTTGGCGCTGATGTGATTATTTGCTTTTCAGAGCAATTTAAGCACAGTCATTTTGGAGAAAATCACTGCATAGTAATTTCCTCATGAGGTCAGACCCTCAACACATGCTGAGGCCAAGCTAACTGGACGAGCAAATGGTTCAACACCAAATAAACTGTGTGCAAACTGAAATGGTTCCCTAAAAGCTAGGTGGAACAACAGAAAATGTGTGTTTTAGCGTGCTTTGTGCTACAATAACTCAGAGATATCCTAGTACAGAGAAATTAAATCAGTTTTAGCGAGCCCCAAACACCAAACAGCTACACGTAGTGCAACACTGAAAACAGGAAACAGGAAACGCCTTACCGCCAGCTGCAGCCAATCAGCCAGAATACAAACAATGGACCGACCACACAGTTCCGTTCTGTTCCATTCAGTTCAGTTCAGTTCCGTTCAATTCAAGTTTATTTACATAGTGTCTCGGACCAGAGTCGTCTCAAGGACCTTCACACAGTAAACATTCCAATACAGGTCAGTTCATTAAGCCAATCAGTAAAAAGTTTCCTATATAACGAACCCAGCAGGTTGCATCGAGTCACTGACTAGTGTCAGTCTTTACAGCAATCTCAGTTTGTTTTGATGTGCCAGATTCTGCCTCTTGTTTTAGGCTTTTGAAGTAAAAACTTGAATAATCCAGATAATTAGATTTATTGATAAAACATGTTTTTTTTTCTTCTGCTCATTACACTCTCTTGCTGCAGAAATCGACCACTGCGCTGACGGGACCCATGGCTGTGAGCAGGAGTATGTGAACACAGACGACAGCTGTGTGTGTAGATGCAGAGTGGGATTCACGCTCAAGCCAGATGGAAAAACCTGCAAAAGTAATAGTCTGGTGTTTTAGGTCTTGGCTCTTTTGATTTATTGAAAGTGGTTTTGGATTTTATTTACAACTTTCTCAGCATGAAAATCTAAGTGGTGGTCCAGAACTCAGCTCAGTTCAATTCAATTCAATTCAATTCAGTTCTGCTCAGTTCAATTCAATTCAGTTCAGTTCTGTTCTGTTCTTTTCTGCTCTGCTCTGATCTGTCCTGTTGTGTTCGGTTCTGTACAGTTCAGTTCTGTTCTATTCTATTCAGTTCAGTTCTGTTCAATTCAGTTCAATTCAGTTCAGTTCAACTCAATTCATTTCATTTCAGTTCAATTAAATTCAATTAAATTCAGTTCAGTTCAGTTGAATTCAATTGAATTCAATTAAATTCAGTTCAGTTCAGTTCAGTTTATTTCAATTAAATTCAATTCAGGTCAATTCAAGATTATTTATATAGTGCCTCAGACCAGAGTCGTCTCAAGGACCTTCGTAAACATTCCAATACAGGTCAGTTCATTAAGCCAATCAGTAAAAAGTTTCCTATATAAGGATCCCAGCAGGTTGCATCGAGTCACTGACTAGTGTCAGTCTTTTCAGCAATCTCAGTTTGTTTTGATGTGCCCGATTCTGCCTCTTGTTGTTGGCTTTTGAAATAAAACCTTGAATAATCCAGATATAGTTAGATTTATTGATAAAACACGTTTTTTGCTGCTGATTACACTCTCTTGCTGCAGAAATCGACCACTGCTCTGACGGGACCCATGGCTGTGAACAGGAGTATGTGAACACAGACGACAGCTGTGTGTGTAGATGCAGAGTGGGATTCACGCTCAAGCCAGATGGAAAAACCTGCAAAAGTAATAGTCTGGTGTTTTATATCTTGGCTCTTTTGATTTATTGAAAGTGGTTTTGGATTTTATTTACAACTTTCTCAGCATGAAAATCTAAGTGGTGGTCCAGAACTCAGTTCAGTTCAATTCAATTCAATTCAATTCAATTCAATTCAATTCAATTCAATTCAATTCAGTTCTGCTCAGTTCAATTCAATTCAGTTCAGTTCAGTTCTGTTCTTGTCTGCTCTGCTCTATTCTGTCCTGTTGTGTTCGGTTCTGTACAGTTCAGTTCTGTTCTATTCTATTCAGTTCAGTTCTGTTCAATTCAATTCAGTTCAGTTCAGTTCAACTCAATTCAATTAATTTCAGTTCAATTAAATTCAATTAAATTCAGTTCAGTTCAGTTGAATTCAATTGAATTCAATTAAATTCAGTTCAGTTCAGTTCAGTTTATTTCAGTTAAATTCAATTCAGGTCAATTCAAGATTATTTATATAGTGCCTCAGACCAGAGTCGTCTCAAGGACCTTCACACAGTAAACATTCCAATACAGGTCAGTTCATTAAGCCAATCAGTAAAAAGTTACCTATATAAGGATCCCAGCAGGTTGCATCGAGTCACTGACTAGTGTCAGTCTTTACAGCAATCTCAGTTTGTTTTGATGTGCCCGATTCTGCCTCTTGTTTTTGGCTTTTGAAATAAAACCTTGAATAATCCAGATATAGTTAGATTTATTGATAAAACACGTTTTTTGCTGCTGATTACACTCTCTTGCTGCAGAAATCGACCACTGCTCTGACGGGACCCATGGCTGTGAGCAGGAGTATGTGAACACAGACGACAGCTGTGTGTGTAGATGCAGAGTGGGATTCACGCTCAAGCCAGATGGAAAAACCTGCAAAAGTAATAGTCTGGTGTTTTATATCTTGGCTCTTTTGATTTATTGAAAGTGGTTTTGGATTTTATTTACAACTTTCTCAGCATGAAAATCTAAGTGGTGGTCCAGAACTCAGTTCAGTTCAATTCAATTCAATTCAATTCAGTTCTGCTCAGTTCAATTCAGTTCAGTTCAGTTCTTTTCTGCTCTGCTCTGTTCTGTCCTGTTGTGTTCGGTTCTGTACAGTTCTGTTCTATTCTATTCAGTTCAGTTCTGTTCAATTCAATTCAGTTCAGTTCAGTTCAACTCAATTCATTTCAGTTCAATTAAATTCAATTAAATTCAGTTCAGTTCAGCTGAATTCAATTGAATTCAATTTAATTCAGTTCAGTTCAGTTTATTTCTATTAAATTCAATTCAGGTCAATTCAAGATTATTTATATAGAGCCTCAGACCAGAGTCGTCTCAAGGACCTTCACACAGTAAACATTCCAATACAGGTCAGTTCATTAAGCCAATCAGTAAAAAGTTTCCTATATAAGGAACCCAGCAGGTTGCATCGAGTCACTGACTAGTGTCAGTCTTTACAGCAATCTCAGTTTGTTTTGATGTGCCAGATTCTGCCTCTTGTTTTTGGCTTTTGAAATAAAAACTTGAATAATCCAGATATAGTTAGATTTATTGATAAAACTCGTTTTTTGCTGCTGATTACACTCTCTTGCTGCAGAAATCGACCACTGCGCTGACAGGACCCATGGCTGTGAGCAGGAGTATGTGAACACAGACGACAGCTGTGTGTGTAGATGCAGAGAGGGATTCACGCTCAAACCAGATGGAAAAACTTGCAAAAGTAACAGTCTGGTGTTTTATGTCTTGTCTCTTTTGATTTATTGAAAGTGGTTTTGGATTTTATTTACAACTTCCTCAGCATGAAAATCAAAGTGGTGGTCCAGAACTCAGTTCAAATCAATTCAGTTCAGTTCTGCTCATTTCAATTCAATTCAGTTCAATTCAATTCAATTCAATTCAATTCCATTCAATTCCATTCAATTCAGTTCAGTTCAATTCGGTTCAATTCAGGTTTATTTATACAGCGCCAAGGACCAGAGTTGTCTCAAGGACCTTCACACAGTAAACATCCCAATACAGATCAGGTCATTAAGGCAATCAGTAAAAGGTTTCCTATATAAAGAACCCAGCAGGTTGCATCGAGTCACTGACTAGTGTCACAGTCTTTACAGCAATCCCAATTTGTTGTGCTGTGCCAGATTCTGCCACTAATTTTTGGCTTTTGAAATAAAAACTTGAGTGATCCCGAGAGTTAGATTTATTGATAAAACGTGTTTTTTTCTGCTGATTACACTCTCTTGCTACAGAATTTGACCACTGCGCTGACAGGACCCATGGCTGTGAGCAGGAGTATGTGAACACAGACGACACCTGTGTGTGTAGATGCAGAGAGGGATTCACGCTCAGACCAGATGGAAAAACCTGCAAAAGTACGTGTATTTAAAACATAAATGCTTTATGCCTCTGGTAGGGTCACCCATGGCAAACAGGTCCTAGGTGATGGATCAGACAAAGTGCAGCCCAAAGACCCCTTATGAAGAACAATACAAATGGAAACAGTGTTCCCTCGCCTGGACGTGGGTCACCGGGGCCCCTCTCTGGAGCCAGGCCTGGACTTGGGGCATGTTGGTGAGCACCTGGTGGATAGGCTTTTTCCCATTTAGCCCAGCTGGGCACAGCCCAAAGTGGAGACGTGGGTCCCCCTTTCCATGAGCTCACTACTCGTGGGGCTACATAAGCTAGCTCTTGTTGAGTGTGGAGATGAAACTATGCCACTTTTTCCCAATCAACTACAGTACCAATACTTGGATCTGGTGGCACCGGACTTAAGTGCTCACCCCGTAATCAGAAGGTTGCAGGTTCAAGCACTGTTCAGCCTGTCGCTATCGTTGTGTTCTTGAGCAACACCCTTAACCCACCTTGTCTGCCAGTGGTGGTCGGGGAGACTGGTGGCACCAGTGCTCGGCAGCCTTGCCTCTGTCAGTGTGCCCCAGGGCAGCTGTGGCTACATCATGGTTCATCCCCACCAGGGAGTGAGTGTGTGTTTGAATGACTGATTTGTTGTAAAGCACCTTGGGGGTTTCCAGGATTCTAGAAGGCGCTATATCAAATACAGGCCATTTACCACTTACCAATACCGATACTTCTACCAGACAAATAAAAAATGCAATGAATTGGAATACAGGTTCTTCTCTGCTTTCAACAGGAAAAGACTGTGAGGTAGATTATATATATACTGTATATATAAACAGAAATAATCACAAAACTAAAATATTAGGTAAACAGAAATGACAAGTTACAGTGAAGACCCTTACAGGCAACTGCATTGGTATCGGCTCCTGGTATCGATGAACTTGATACCTATATTATATACATATATATATATGTATGTATGTATGTATGTATATATATATATATGTAGCACCTATAGAGGGGACTAGTTTTAGTCAGGTACTAGACATCTACTAGGCTCTATCTACAAAGAGAATTAGGAAAACCATCCGAAAGTTGAACAACGGTGATTTATTGCTTCACCCAGCATATAAAAAAAGTAAATAAAATAAAAAGAGAATGTGTGGTTACAATATTTTCAAAATCAAATACAATACCCAAAATAAGAGAGCTCCTTTTCCCCAAAAAATAAAAATAAATATAGATGTTGAGCTTTAGGATTCAGTTCTTGAGCAACGTTGCTACCCGGGTAGTGTTTGTGTCTTATCTGTAGATCTGTATGGATTTTTCCAGTTCGTGAAGGTTCCTCTGCGAAAGGGTGTCTCGGCTGGCCACACCGTTTACACCTGTCCGCAGTCCATCTGGGCTCGGCTCGCCATCACGTCAAGAATGCAGAGTCACTATAAAACCAATTGGGATCTCCACAAGCTAGCTCTCAACAAACGGTTACTCCCGTTGCTCACAGATGACTCACAAGGTTCCAGCTCGCTCCGTTCAGTGCACAGCCACGCATATGCTTGGAGGCGAAAAGTGAGTATGTTGCACGTCTATAGCTCAGGTTTCAGAAGGTGTAACCTGCACCCTGGTGGGCATTTGTGGTATTACAGTTCAGACAACATAAACAGGTTTAGTAGCCCAATACTTCTCATGGGTTACACTCTCCCCCCTTGACTTGGCTTGAGTCCCTTCATGCTCTTGTTGGTGAGTAAGATAGTTGTCATTGTTACTGAATGCATCAAGTGCTTCGTTAAAACTGCCAAGAAAACTTTGGGCAAAAGAGATTAAAGGTTTACCCAACTGAGAGTAGTAAAAACGGTCGGGTGGCCGCCGTGACCTTTCTGACCTTCGGACCGTGTCTTTATCTGTAAGTGTTTTACTTTCTGATTTATTCACATTGTTTTCACAGGTAAGTGCACTATCTGATTCAGTGTTCTCTTGCATTTTGTTGTTCATTGTATCCGGTAGGTTGCCGTTTCCAGTTTGATTTATCACATCCAGTAGATTGTCAGTTCCAGTTTGGTTCATCGCATCCAGTAGATTGACAGTTCCAGTTTGGTTCATCACATCCATTAGATTGTCAGTTCCAGTTTGGTTCATCACATCCAGTGGGTTTTCATTTCCCATGTTCCGTTGATTTCCTTCACTTAGGTTTTGATTAACTGTCGGACTGTGTGGCCCTCGCTCAGATATTCCAGGAGCTGTTTGCATAGGATCAGGTAAGTTAGAGACTTGAGACTCGGGGCGGGAAAGCTGAGTTTCAGAGCTTGGATGACTTACAGGTAGCAGTTTTGGAATACTGCATAGATGGGTAAACCTTCCATCATGGGAAAGAGGTAAATGAGTGTAAGGTAGATCATCATCAGAGTCAGAATATTCCTCACGAGGGTGAGGTGGCTTAGGCCTGGTTTTTGGCCTACAAGGTCTGGGTTCAGGTTGTTTAGTTTCCTCCTCTTCACACAGGTCACCACAAGCAAGCAAGTGATCCCTGTGCAAGGTTCGAATGGGACCATCTCCACTGATGGGTTCTACCTTGTACACAGGTAGGTCTGACACTTTGGTAAGAACTTTGTATACTGTTGACTCCCACTTGTCTGTGAGTTTATGTTTGTTACGGAGACGAAGGTTTCTGACCAGGACCTTATCACCGGTTTCCAAAACTGATTCTCTCACTGCCTTATCAAAGCGACGCTTATTTCGATCAGCAACCCTCTTTGAGTTCTGGGTGGCTACTTGATAACTCTCCTCAAGGTGTGCTTTCAGGTTTTTCACATATTGAGAGTGAGATTTGGGAGAGCCACCCTTGGCAGGTAAGTTGAAGGAGATGTCAATTGGGAGCCTGGGCTGGCGCCCAAACATCAGCTCGTAGGGGCTGTACCCTGTCACTTCATTTTTTGTGCAATTGTAGGCGTGTGTTAATGGTTTCACGTAGTCATGCCAATGACTTTTGTCCTTGTTCTTGAGGGTTCCCAGCATGGAAAGAAGGGTTCGGTTGAACCTTTCAACCGGATTTCCCCTTGGGTGATAAGGACTGGTGCGGACTTTTGTACTGCCAACCAAAATGCACAGTTCTTTAATAAGTTGAGACTCGAAGTCTCTGCCTTGATCACTTAATAGACGTTCCGGGAACCCATAGTGCACAAAAAACTGCTCCCATAGATTCTTTGCAACGGTTATAGCTTTTTGGTCTTTGGTGGGTATAGCCACAGCATATTTTGTAAAGTGATCTGTTATGACCAAGATGTCTTTGGTGTTGTGGCTATCTGGCTCTAGGGACAAATAGTCCATGCATACAAGTTCCATAGGCCGAGAGGTTTGAATATTTATGAGAGGAGCACTTTTCTCGGGAGGTGTCTTCCTTCGAACACACCTCCCGCATGTCTTTATTTTGTGTTCAACACTCTGCATCATCTTAGGCCAATAGAACCTGGATCGAACAAGGTCTATTGTTCTTTCAAGGCCCATGTGTCCCATATCATCATGGAGACACGTGAGGACTGTAGTTCTAAGAGAAGAGGGAACCACAAACTGGTAACAGAGGTCTCCATCAGCTTGACGAACGCGGTAAAGCAGACCATTCCTTGTGGTAAGCCGTGTCCACTCTTTTAGCATGAGCCTGAGTTCAAGAGAGTCAGAGTGAGAGTCAACAACAGGTTCTTCCCCAGCTTCGAGGAGATTGACAACAGTTTTAATGATTGGATCAGATTGTTGAAGCTGCTGGAGTTCAGCTTCAGTGTAAGCAGGTAAGGTGGTACAACCTAACATTTCTTCACTTGCATAAAGGTCAGGAACTGCATCGGAATGAATGGCAAGGGATTCTACCAAAGTAACTGCGGGTGGATCATCCTGGTTTTGGTTTAAAAGATGTCGGTGACCCAAAACATGGATAGTCTCTGCTGAGAGAACTTCTTGGCTGGGAGATGTTGCCAAATGATGAGATGCAAACTGCTTCACTCTTTCCCTCTCTTCTAGAGATGCATGGTCATCGCTTAGCGTTTCCCGAGGACATCTAGAAAGACCATCGGCATCCTGGTTACTCTTGCCGGCGCGGTATTTGATGTTGAAGTTGAACGTTGAGAGAGCAGCAAGCCAGCGGTAACTGGCTGCATCTAACTTTGCTGACTTCAGAATATAGGTCAACGGGTTGTTATCCGTTATGACTGTGAATGTTGTCCCATAAAGGTAGTCTTGGAACTTTTCTACCACTGACCACTTTAAAGCTAAAAATTCTAGCTTATGGGCAGGATATCGCTTTTCGCTGGGTGAAAGCCCTCGGCTAGCGTAAGCGATGACTCGCATTTCACCATCCTGTTCCTGGTAAAGGGCTGCCCCTAAACCAGAGGTACTTGCATCAGTGTGAAGGACATACGGTAACTTGGTGTTAGCAAATCCAAGTACCGGGGCGGTACAGAGTTTTTCAATGATTAACTCAAAAGCCTGTTGACATTCAGGAGTCCACCGATTTGTTAGGGGCTCTTTAAGGTTGTAGTATTCGTTCTGGCAAGGACTAACTTTTCTGCCCTTCCTGAATGGTGGATAACCTCCAGTAAGATCATTTAGGGGCTTCACTATTTTTGAGTAGTCCTGGACAAATCGGCGATAATACCCCGCAAAGCCCAAAAATGACTTGAGCTCCTTGAGTGTCTGAGGTTTTGGCCAGGTGCGAAGGGCAGCAACCTTTTCGGGGTCAGTTTCAACTCCTTGGTTAGAAACAATGTGGCCTAAATACCTCACCGAGGTCTGAAAGAACCGACATTTAGAAGGTGAAAGTTTTAACCCATTTTCTCTTAGTTGTTGGAGGACGTGTATAAGCCTGGACTCATGTTCTTCTAGTGAGCTTGAAAACACTATGATGTCATCCAAAAAGACTAGTACTTCCTTGAGGTGTAGGTTGCCCATACACTTTTCCATTACTCTTTGGAAGGTACTAGGGGCGTTGGTAATGCCCTGGGGCATGCGATTAAACTCATAAAACCCCAAT